CCCGAGGACAACAGCGACGATGAGCCTGTCAATTACAAGAACCGCGCTCAACAGCTGCAACAGGCCCACGGAAGCGCCGATGATCGCTTCTGGGAGATGGAAGACCTGCACCACGATCAAACCGACAAACGGGCCGACACGCGCCAGAAGAAGAAGACTGTGTCGCCCAGACGGTGCCGCTCGCCTCCGCCGCCCAAGACTCGTGGCCGCTCGCCTGCACCCCGCCGCCTGTTCGACCGCCACTCGCCCACGCGTCGCCTCAAGTCGCCTGCGCCCAAGGCCATTCCTTCACCCATGCCTGTGCCGATCAATGTCGCTTCGTCGCACATCCATGCCATCTCGCCGCCGGCTTCTCCCGTGGACTTGCCCGCCGACCGTGGTCGGCCCATGTTCCAACCGCTCGCGTTCCATCCTGGCATGACACACACCAAGTCTCTTCCCAGACCTTCGGCTATTTTCCGTCACCAACTGGCGACTGCTGCCCAAGCGCAGCAGCACCAGCTGCAGCAGCAGCAGCAGCCTACTGCCAAACCCTACCGCCGTCCCAAGGCCAACAGCCTTGCCGGTGCCAAACAACCTAGACACGTTCGTGGTGCCATTGACATTGTCAAGGGGCTCGAGCAGAAGCGCCAGAGACGCCGCGAAAAGTTTCAGCAAAAGTACTGCAACCGGGCGCGTAAGGGCCAGGTTCCCGAGCGGCGCACACAGCGCGGCGAGGGCGCCGAGCGCATGAGAGAAGTTGGGCTTCTCATGGCCGGAAAGATTCGCCCGGCGAACTACGTTCTTTCCGTCTAAAACCATGCCTACGACACCAACACAAAACAAACAAATGACGACTGGGATCCGGCGCATTTTGAATTTTTTATTTCCTAACCTCAATACCCGCACGTTGCCTGCACAACGCGCAGACATTTGTCAGTCATGGGAAAGGGCTTCTTTGATTTTAATAGCATTTGATGTTTTCCTCTCTCGTTTTCCTTTGCTTTCCCTTTGTTTCAAAGCATTTACATCTGGGAGGCTGTTTCTTAACCTTGCAACGCATTTGTTGGTGGCTCGGTTTACTCGTGCATTTTCAGTGTGTTTTGTTTGCACCTCTTGTTTCTTTTTATTTTTACTACTTCTTTCTCTTATTTTGTCACGCTTCTCTGCCTTGTTTTGGCGAGCTTGTTGTTTGACAACCCTTTCTTTTTCTATTTTTATTCCTATTTTCCTTCTTAAGTGACAAGCTTTAAGCTTGTCTATCTTTACTTTCTTTTCTACCTTACCCTTTTTTATTAGGCACATACATACTTTTTTTATCATATATTTACTACGGCAGGAGCGCGGAATGGGGTCTTAAAACTGTACATACAAAACACGCAAGGCTTACGTGGACCTGTCCTCTGCCTGCAGACTCTCGTTACCATTATTCTCCAGTTTCTTTTTACTTCCTTCACATATTCACGCGAATTTCGTGGTCGCTTTTTACTTGATGGTGCTACTGCTTTCTGTTTTACGCGTTTCCCTGGGGCTACTTGTCATTGAAAGGATACCCATTTACTTCCGTTGCTAGAATACCTTGAAGACGAACTGATAAATGACAAATGACTCATGATATTTTTTTACCCTTTCTTATTATTATTAAATGTGGTGTCCTCTTCGATTGGAGTGAGAATGTTGATGCCTATAAGGCCAAATTCCGCAAGTTCTGGCTGGACTAGGCTATTGCCAACCAGGCAGAGGAACGGCAAGACGCGAGGCTGTTTAGTGTATCAGCTGTGTGCATTGGGGACTGGGACTAGCTTCCTCATAGTGGATTCAGCAAAGGAAAGCTGGTACAGAATATCACTGATAACCAAACTCACAGCAAGGGCGAAGGTATGCGTCGTGGCCTGAAAAGCAAGGCATGTCACGTGCTAGTCGTAGCGCAATTGGACCAGTCCAAAGGGTGCATTCTCGGAGTCAATTACACCAGTGCGGTGGCTAACGAATTTCCAAGATGTGTATTCCGACGTTCGTCAGAGTTGCCTCGTGGTCAGCTTTTGCTGGCTTTTTTTTGTATAATATATCCTTGAAAGAATGCGTTTGATACAGTTTCTCGCCTCGCCTATTTTAGCAGGATGTAAAAATATTTATGCAGCTGTAAACATTAGTCTGATTGCCTGGACGAATAATCTGTCCTCTTTTTAATACACCTATTTAGTTGCCTCCGGATGCCCTGTAGCCCGTTTGCTTCTCCCCTAACCGGAACCTGGTCCCCTTATCCAGGCCAGGCCCATTGAACGTTCACCTTCCCCATTAATTTTTCCCCTGTGCGTGCCACTTCGCAACTTTGAACTCAACCTCCCTTTTTACCTCTTCCGCCTCGAAGCAACCGCATCAAGCCTGCGTAACGCCCTTCCCCGTATTCTGGCAGGAAACAAACCACTGACGAACAACGAGCGAAACGTGCATCTCTTTACCTCGACGTCTTTTCCCGTCCCTGTCTCACCAGTCGACTGAAGACCTCTTCTGGACCGACTTCGCATCTTCCCCTACACACACCACACCGCACAACACACCCACCAACCGTCGCCATGTGGATGATTAACTGGTGTATGTTCATGCCGATGAGAGAGGATTGCTGTTGCGCCTACCTTCTGGCAAGGAAGACGGGCCAAGACCGATAGCAGTCGCACGACCGGACCGGTTTCCGTCTCTATCTCGAAGAGGAAGGGAGCCGATTCTGAGCAGAGCAGATAAGAGCAAGGGATCAAGAATGCTGACATGGGGATGCCTCTAGTCTGGGACGTTCTGTCCTCGCTCGGCCTGCTGAACAAGCACGCGAAGCTGCTGTTCCTGGGTCTCGACAACGCCGGCAAGACGACACTTCTGCACATGCTAAAGGTGAGGACACGAGATGCCTTGGCTCTGCAATCGCTTTCGATGGCACGAACGGGTTGACTAACTGCTCTCTTGTTTCTAGAACGACCGTGTCGCCATCCTGCAGCCGACGCTCCATCCCAGTTCGTTCCTACCCCCACCCGTCTCACTGGTTGAGAACGGGCTGCTCGAACCCATCGCACCGGATTGAATGAGCTGGAACTAACATTGGAAACCTCTACAGCATCTGAGGAGCTTGCCATTGGCAACGTCCGTTTCACCACGTTTGATCTGGGCGGCCACCAACAGGGTGAGTTGTTTCGTTTTTTGTCGCATTCCACTTTCTGTTTTTGTGTTGCATAGTAACTTGGGCTGCAGCACGCCGCCTGTGGAAGGACTACTTCCCCGAAGTCAACGGCATCGTCTTCCTCGTCGACGCCAAGGACCACGAGCGATTCCCCGAGGCCAAGGCCGAGCTCGATGCGCTCCTCGCCATGGAGGAGCTCGCCAAGGTGCCCTTTGTCATCCTCGGCAACAAGATTGACCACCCAGACGCCGTCTCCGAAGACGAGCTGCGCCACCAACTGGGCGTCTACCAGACCACGGGCAAGGGCAAGATCCCACTGGAGGGCATTCGCCCCATTGAGGTGTTTATGTGCTCTGTTGTGATGCGGCAAGGCTATGGCGACGGTATCCGGTGGCTCTCGAACTACGTCTAGACGACCTTTCTTTCATACCCATCGCCTCGCGCACGCATCCACATACACATACGACCGCCCTATTTATGTCCATCCACCACCGAACGCCCTTTCCATCTCCGATGGACAGGGCTTCGTATTTCTTGAAACGATGAAGCACTGTGTAATTTTTTCGTTTCCAGAGTTGTCTTTCGTGTGTTGTAGGGGAACGGAAGAACAGCGGGATGGGAAGACCAAGGAGTTAGGCAGAGAAGAGAGACGGGGAGAGACGGAGAGGGACAAAGAGAGCAAAGTAGAATGCAGGTGTTGGAAGGGAAATTGATGTCTTTTTACTTTTACGTACAGTCGTTGGAAGGGGCGCTTGCCCAAGCCAGAAGCAATACTCAGGATGAAACCCAATAAAAACACATTAAAGAACAAGTCTTTCACGATGCACTTTTCCTCTCTCAACCACATTGTTGGGGTATGACTTGCGGGTTAATTCCAACTCATGACATTCGCGGTTCAGGCGATCACGTGTTGCAAGCTGAGATATCCAAAATCTATTCGATTCCTGCCGAACGGCCATGGATCCTTTACCGCAATGAACATATGCGGAGTCGGAGAAGGGCCACTTTCTTTCCTCGGTGACACGGAGCCGCCTGTAGGCGTTTGTAGACAACTGTAGAAACCTGCGTGGGGCCCTCTTGCTAAAAGTTCGCATCTCAAGGCCAAAAAAACACGGCAATGGAAAAGTTCCGGAGCCGACCATCGGCAGTTGCAACGTGGGGTTCCACTGTTGTCGTCGGTTTATCTCTCTTCCAGTCTTCGACATACAATGAATACATCCCTTCATATTTGCGTGCCTCTTTTCTTTCGTAAATGCCATTGCCATTTTCGGTCAAGGCAATTCTAATGTATCACTGATCATTTTCACACAAAAGGGGCACGCACTGCCAAAACCTTGCATTATCTCCACTTCCAATAATTGAACAACTCGTCTCGCATTATAACTCCGGACGAGAGTTAAAGTACTTCACTGGTCGTGGCTGAATATTCATTATCCTTTCATTCATGCACCTTATTTTGTCAGGCGCAGGGAACACATTGCAACCAAAGAACTGAAAAAAGAAGATCTACGAATGTAAGCCAAGGCTCCTTCCCATCGAGAGCCCCTCCTCCACACTCCGCAATTGGCCTAAAGCTAGTATTACTGGCTTGGCCAGGATTACACGTCAACGACGTCCCTTTGTTTCTTGGAGCCTTTTTGTTTTCGAGCCTTGCAGTACTCCTTTAATACCCCTTTGCATTCTTCGCGCGTGTCTTTCTTGGACCCCGGCTTTGTGGTTTGAACTCCATTGCCAGGCTGCTACTCCTGCTCCGTGTTTTTGGAAACCGGATCACGACGTTTAAGCGCCTGACAGGGCGTTTTGATCGGATGCGCGTCGGCGCTGCCCTCTTTCCCCGTCGTCAATGAAGATTATGGACATCAATTACGACGGGCTGCTGGACGAGGCGTTTTTGGGGGCGACGGTGCCGGGGATGACAACGCTGGGCTCAACCTTGCAGGGCTTGTCAGAAGAGCCTGGACACAGAGACCTCAGTCCGCCGAGTAGTGCGACAAGCACAGCAGCACCGGCAGGGGCGCGCGGCGGCGGAGCACCCGGAACTGGTGCTGCGGCAGGAGCAGGAGGCAGGAGCGAGAGCGGCGACCCCGGCAGCGCAGCCGCGACAAACGTTGCGGGCTTTCCCGCCTCCAGCAGCAAACACCGTGTGCGTCTGCCGGCCAGTTGCGACCCGCCCTCGCCTGACACGCCGACTAAGCCATTGGTGTGGATTGTATGTTTTGTCGGCCTCCGTCACCGTGTCGGACATTCGCGCCGTATCGCCGTATCGACATTTTGCTAACATACTAAAGGTCTTTGGAGGCACAGGGCACATGGGCCGGTCGCTCGTCAAAGCGGCACTTGCCCACGGCGACTACGTGACGACAGTCGGCCGCATACACGAGACGTCCATGGCAGCCATGCAGGCCTTGGCAGCCTCGGAAGCGGAGCATGGTCCCGATGGCGATGGTCCATCACCAGAGCCTTTGACGGCATCGCCGTCACCGTCTTTGTTTTCACCAGTGCCGGGCGGCGCAGCGGCCAAGAAGAAAATGCGCTGTCTCGGCACGCTGTGCGACGTGCGCGCGCGCGAATCCGTGGAGCGGGTTGTCCAGCGCACGCTGGCCCATTTCGGGCGCATCGACATCGTTGCCAACTGCTCTGGATACGGCGTGGTGGGTGCGTGCGAAGACCAGGACGAGCACGAGCTGCGCAACCAATTCGAAACCAACTTCATGGGCACCCTGTACATCCTGCAGGCGACGTTGCCCATCTTGCGGCGACAACAGGAGCTGCTGTTGCATCAGCAGCAGGTCCAGCAGCAGCAACAGGGGACGTCACAGCAGAATTACAGTCCCGCTGGTGGCGGCGGCCGCTACCTCATCTTCAGCTCCACGGCGGGCGCACTGGGTGTACCTGGGCTGGGTCCGTACTGCGCGACCAAGTATGCGGTCGAGGGGCTCATCGAGGCGATGCTGTACGAGGTGGATGCCTTTAACATCAAGGCGACCCTGGTGGAGCCGGGTCTGATGCGGCGCGACGACCGCCATCTGGATGCGAGCGAACTGTCAGGCGACGGGGCAGGCGGTACAGGCAACAACAGCGCACTGGGTCGAAGCAGCGGCAACCGGGGCGACAACACCAACCCACTGCCCACCTGGGGTCACTTTCTCATCAAACCGCCCAGCGAGACCTACGCCAACCCGTCTGCGCCGTCGCTGCATGCGACACGCATGGTGCAGTGGCTGGGTGACCGCCAACCTGCGAGCGTGGTGCAGTGTGCAGAGCTTGTGTGGCAGCTGGCTCACTGCTCGTTCCCGCCGCTGCGGCTGCCTCTCGGCAGCTACGCCATTGAGAGCATCCGCGACCGTATGCGCTCGGTGACAGAGGAGATTGAGGACTGGAAGCACCTGAACTTTCCTTTGCCACCTGACGCGGCGGCTGTTTCTGCTGCTGCTGCTGCTGCAGTTCCTCCCACGACAGCATCAGCTTCGACAGCTGTACCAACGTTATCAGGACCAGCGGCGTCGGAATTGCTTACGGATACGACTGCGGAACTACCAACATCGACAGCCGGTGCGACCAGCTCAGTAGCAATTGGGGGAGAGGAGCCAACAGTCAGCGACAAGAAGGAGGACCAGGACGAGGAGATGTTGGACATTGGCAGCTAATGCTCCGAGGTTCCGTTCCGGGTGCTGTAAGTAGCCATGGTGCGCCGAGAGGACCTGCGCATGGATATACCATCGGTGCGCAAAGGCGGCACGATTAAACGTTCCGTTTTCCGTACGGCATCATTGTTGTCATTGTCGTGTCCCTGTAGCATTACATGGCTAGTGTCTTGCGTTTTTCTCACTCAGCCCGCCTCTTCTGAACATACACCGCGTCGTAAATGCAAATTAGTGCTTCCAAGATACTTGGAGGTACTTCGTGTCTTGTTGATATGTGACCAGACTCTTGAAAGCCCTCGTCTCAAGTATCATTGTCCCCGATGGCCTGTAGCTTGTGCACTAGCATGAGCCTGCGCTACGTTTCAGAATGATGTCGATCAGTAAAGAGTCCGCTAAAAGGGCCCTCCAAACAGTTGTTGCTAGCGTCTTAATAAAAATCTTACAGGGGGTTCGGTCTTCGTCTGCCTTTTTTCTTGTGGAGATCTTCATCCAGATCACAATTCACCTCAAACTTCTCATCTCAAGTCTATTCTTTGTCTCGCATATCGGTACACATCTCCATATTGTTGGCTGGCTTTTCTTTCCTGTGCGCCCCTTTGGCAGGTACATTAGCCCTGCTCACGTCCGACTGGACAGCATTTTACAGAATTCGTACTTAAGGGGCAACATATGGCTGGTCCACTTGTCTATCTTCGTTGCTCCCACCATCCGATCGCTTTATTGCATATTTGGCGTGTAGTATTCGCAATCTGGCCCACTATTTCTTTTTTTTAATTGCTGCCGTGTCTTTTTGCAAGCGTCTCCTTCCTCCCCCCTATCGCACACGCGCCATCACCTCCCTAATTCGCGGTGCTCGTCTTTCTCCCTCCTGGGACTATCTCGCTTCGTATTGCCTTAATTCCTTTTTTTCTCTCTTGCATCCTCGCTCTCGCCATTCCCTTCTGCCTTTGCTGGGATTTGTTCGTGCTTCACACCCCCAAATACGTTCGTTCGTATTTCTCTTCCTTCTTTTCGTCCTTTCTTTTCCAGGTCACGTTACGAGCCCCGGTCGTGTTCAATTTCTACCTCGACCTTTCTCCTTAATTTTCTCTCGGCGTCTTTCACCCCCCTTTTATCGCGTCCCCATTACGACCATCCATTCGTTCCGACACCATATCTCGTTGTTTTCTCGGTCCTGTCAGCCGAAGCCTCTCTGCTTCTGTTTCTCTACTCGACTCCTCGACCAGTCCCCTCCAGACACCGCTCTTTCGCCTCGCCCACCATGACGAACGTCTCGGATAAGAAGAACGAGGACTATGTCGTCCGGATGTCCGACCAGAATGACTACCCGGGCCGTCCAAACCCGCTCAGAAGCTACCACGCCGGCTCGCCCTCCGCGGGCGCGTCCAAGATCGACTTATCTCGTGTCGAGAACAGCCCGCTTCTCGCGATCCTTGCCTACTGCATCGCGTCGATCAGCATGACTGTGGTTAACAAGTTCCTGGTCTCGGGAAGCGACTGGAACATGAATTTCTTGTACCTTGCCATTCAGGTGAGTCCCTTCTCTCTAGAACGCCGGCCACATTTCGCACGTTATCGTGACGTATCATTTTTCTAACCGTTGCCTTTCTAGTCTGTGGTTTGCGTCATTTGCATCCGTGGCATGTGGCTGTTCAACCTGCTACAGTTGGAGACCTTCTCGTGGAACAAGGCCAAGTCATGTATGCCACGCCCAATGCCCGCCGTTCTCGTGTTTCTATTGCTGTACTAACGACGTTTCCTGCTCGCAGTCACGCCCATCTCCGCCCTCCTTGTCGGCATGATCTACACTGGTGCCCAGGCTCTGCAGTTCCTCTCGGTGCCCGTCTACACGATTTTCAAGAACTTGACCATTATCGTCATTGCCTACGGCGAGCTGATCCTCTTCGGCAACACGATCACACCCCTGACCCTGGTGTCGTTCGGCCTCATGGTTTTCAGCTCTGTCGTTGCCGCCTGGGCCGATGTCCGTGCTGCTCTTGGCGGCGCACACCCGGCCGTGGCCAACGAGGCCGTCTCGACTCTCAACCTCGGCTACGCCTGGATGGGTGCCAACGTCTTTTGTTCCGCCACTTTCCTCATCGGCATGCGCAAGATGATCAAGAAACTGGGCACCAAGGACAAGGACAGTACGTGAAACATGCCACTTCCCTTCCACTACCCTTTTTTTTTTTGCTTCTTCAATCGTTCTAACGTGAGGTTTGCCTGCTAGCCATGCTCTACAACAACTTGATGAGCGTCCCGATTCTGCTTGTCTTCTCCTTCATTGTTGAGGACTGGTCTGCCGAGAACATGGCCCGCAACTTCCCTGAAGAGACCCGCACGAACCAGATGATTGGTATCTTCTACTCGGGATTCATGGCTGTCGCGATCTCGTACTGCTCTGCTTGGTGTGTTCGCGTTACGTCTTCGACCACGTATTCGATGGTCGGTGCTCTCAACAAGCTGCCCATTGCGGTGAGCGGTCTCATCTTCTTCGACGCCCCGGTGACAGTGGGCAGCGTATCGGCTATCGCGATAGGATTCGTCAGCGGTCTCGTCTACGCCTGGGCCAAGATCCGCCAAACCGCGGCAGAGGCTCTCAAGCTCCCCACGACCAACCAACCCGTGATGAGCGCGAGCTCCCAGAGTGCTAAGGATGCTGCCAATGCGTAAGCGAAACGCTTTTCCAACGGCCAACGGAAGTCTTCGTGCCCTCCTCTGCAACTTTCACTCACTTTGGGGGTTTATAACGATTCTACGATTTTTCCCCTTGCGTTCCCTCCACAAAACTTGTCCGCTCACTTGACACAAGGTGTATGGCGCAAATGCAGGGACAAACCTTCTCCGTAACATTTCGTATTACCTCTATTTAATCCCCTTGATTGATCTCTTTTTTTTTTCACTCTCCCCCTACACCCACTTCTGTTGTACACGACTGTCGATTTGTTTTCACGTTTTCATGGTGGCCCTGCTCGGACTACAGAAAGAGAGCTCTCTTCCGTTGATGATATAACTCCATCTTTGCCAGCGTGGAGACATGGTTGTCTTTCTCATTTGTTTTGGTACTTCTTCTCTTTGCGAGATGCTTGCTTCGAAAGCACTTTTTCACCACTTTCCCCCTTGTTCCCTGGGATATGTTTTTATTTTAGAGGCGTTTTGGAGTGGGAAATGGATACAAAATAAAGATAAACAAACTCGAAATGTTATTTTATTGCATGTAATGGACATGTGCCACTTTTGCCATCATTGACAAGTAAAATACCTTGCGCTTCCGTAACGAGTCATTCGACTGTGGCGCAGAGGGCTCCGTTTGTACTGATGGCTTTATTTGTAATTTATTTTTTTTTTTTGTATCACGCGTCTTGTCTTCATTGTGGCTTTCGCGAAGTGTGTCAAGTGGTCTGTAACTGCCTAAAGCTTATGATTTAAATGGTCGTGCTTTCCCCGTCTGATGCCTCGCTTAAGAATGATGTCTGTCGTGTGCGCTGACAAAGTAGGAGCGACTGCTGCCTCTTTGGGCGGTTGACCAGCGGATGAAGCAGGCCTTCTCACATGCAAGCAGTTGCGACCTTGATTCGGTAATAAATTTCAGGGTTTGGTTTGGTTGGGGGAGGCTACCAAATGGCCTTTTTAGGCTGGGTATGGCAGCTTGTGACATCAGTGCCAACAGCTCCTTTCCGATTATTTTTTCATATTTTTTTTTGCGCTGTTTGGCTTTGCGCGGGTCGCTTGGCAAGAGGCTTGAGGTCCAGCCTAGCACATGGTCCCTGGAGCCAGCTTGATGTGGTACCCTTTCTGCCCACTTTCTTATCCTCTACATCCTCAACAAAAAAAAGGCCGAACCGATATCAACGACACAAAAGACGACCCCAAGCCGGCCCGTCGTCTCCCTGTGACAGCATCCTTTTCTTTCTTAACCTTCCGACAACCCAAAATACTCGACCGCAAAGCTTCGCCTCCTAGGGCTCAGGACGACGATTTTTTCTTCTTTCTCGCATCGGTGTCCCCTCATCTCGATCGATCAGCGACTCCGATTCAACCGTGGCGCAACATCTGGATTCTATTCTTCGCTGCGACGTCCCGCTCCCCTGATCTTGCTCGATAGACAACCTTTGCAACAGCTTGCTGGACGCTCGCGCGGGCGACGCGTGTGCAGCAAACGAGCAAGATGCTCCCCTACATCAATGCGCGTACGTCTGGACAGGAGCCGACGAGGCTACTCCGACAATACTTCTCCTATAAGTACCAACGTTTCTGGTAGATGTAGCTAACCGTTCATTAGCGTTTTTCTATGTCGCCGACCGGCTCGGGGCAGAACCTGACGAGCGTATGTGTTTATTTTGCGCCCTGGCCTCTCATACAGCCGTGCAAACCATCCTCCGCTTCTCGCTGACAGCTTCCCAGTCAAGCTTATCTTTTCTTTTCTTCTGTCGTATCCCTTAGCCGGTCTCTTGAAGCGGGTACCTGACGCTCGTCCCGAGCGGAAGAACCTATTCATTATTGCGTAAGACAAATAAACCATGCGTCAGTTTTTGACTACATCTTGCCTGGCTGTCTCCTAACCTCCCTTCCCAGTGTTTCTCTTTTCTACCTTGTCGGACTTTTCGATCTGTGGGACGGCCTGCAAACCCTCTTCATCTCCTCGGCCGTTGCCTATGGCCTCGCCAAGTACCTCCGTACCAGCCCGTACATGCCATGGATCGCTTTCGTCTTCCTGATGGGCCACATGTCCGTCAACCAGATCGCTCGCCAGTACGCCAACGCCCCTTCCACGATCGACATCACAGGCGCGCAGATGGTCCTTGTCATTAAACTTTCCGCATTCTGCTGGAATATTGCCGACGGCCTTGTCCCCGATGCCGATCTCACGCCGTTCCAGCGTGACCGCGTGCTGCACGAGCTGCCCAGCTTGCTCGACTATGCCGGCTACGTCCTGTTCTTCCCGTCGCTGCTCGCCGGTCCTGCCTGTGATTTTGCCGAGTACCGCCGTTGGCTCGATACCTCCATGTTTGCGGTCCCGGCTTCGATGGACCCGGCCAAGCGCCCGCCAACGCGCCGTAAGCGCAAAATTCCGCGTAGCGGCACGCCTGCCATGAAGAAGATGGCCGTGGGTCTTTTGTGGATTGTCGCATTCCTCGTCCTTAGCGGATGGTACCCGCCCAGTGTCGTGCTCTACGACGAGGCTGGTGGTGGCACAACGTTTTTGAAGCGAGTCTGGCTTTTGTATGTTATCGGCTTTGTCACCCGCACCAAGTTCTACGGTGTCTGGTCCCTGACCGAGGGTTCCTGCATTCTGGCCGGCCTGGGCTTCAACGGTGTCGATCCGACGACAGGCCGCATCTCCTGGAACCGCGTGGCCAACATTGACGCCTGGGGCGTCGAGTCGGCTCAGAACACCCGCGCCTACCTTGAGAACTGGAATATGAAGACCAACTCCTGGCTGCGCAACTACGTCTACTTGCGCGTGACCCCGCGCGGTAGGAAGCCCGGGTTCCGTGCGAGCATGGCCACCTTTGTCACCAGCGCCTTCTGGCACGGTTTCTACCCGGGATACTACCTGACGTTCGTTCTCGCCAGCCTCATCCAAACCGTCGCCAAGAACTTTCGCCGCTTCTTCCGACCTTTCTTCTTCAAAGACCCGGCCACCCTTAAAGAGCCTTTGCCATCCAAGGCATGGGTTTACGATCCGCTCAGCTTCCTCGCTACCCAGGTGGCTTTTGGATTTGCCGTGGCGCCCTTCATCCTGCTGACACTGCAAGACTCCCTGCTGGCCTGGTCACGCGTGTACTTCTACTGCATTGTCGGGGTGCTTGCATCCATGGCCATGTTCGCGTCGCCTGTCAAGCCAGCCTTGAAAAAGGAGATTGAGCGGCGGGCGGCCAAGGCTGCCTCGGCTGCCGGCAGCGACCCCACTACCCTGCCTGCCGCAGACGCAATCACCCCGAAACCCGTTGTGGCTGCAGCTCCTGCGACCGATGCCGACGAACCGGGCATCCACGACCTACCGCCAACCAAGCAGTTCGCCCAGACTCGCGAAATCATGGGTTCCGGTTTGCCGGCCGACCCAGAGGGCGAGCTGGACGAGATTGTAGCCGAGATTCGGGGCGAGGTGGAAAGCCTGCAGCGGCGGGCCACCATGAGCAAAGCAGCCCAGGCGACGCTCAAGAAGCGGGCGTAGTGAGTTGCTATATGCTGCTTTGAGAGCATGGGGAAGTATCGAGTAGGGAAATGGGGCGGCGTTTGGATTGCTTTTGAAAGATGCGCCATCAACATTTTGACCGCACAGGAGACGGGGTCATGAATTTTGGTTGACCTTTTGACTTTCAGTTTTGGTTTTTTTTATGCATTTGAGTTTTGCATCAGCCGTCTTGTGTTTGACAGCGTCTGAGTATTAGAGAGCCTTTCTTGTTTGGACCTGCCCGACGAACTGACGCCGACGACTGGGCTTTGAGTCCGTCTTCCTTTTTTATCTTATCCTGCATTATAGCATCCTACACATTATCATTACTTTGCACAACTTGCGGTTTCCCGGTTACCATTTTGGTATGCACGCCAGAACAAATATGATATAAAGTATATTTTATGAACAATGTGTAATGGTGTATGTCATTAGGTTTGAAAACAGTTATAAAAATGAGTGCAGGCAATCTGGATTGCACCATTCTCGTATTGACAAACTCTCTTCGTCCACTTCCTCCCTTCCATCGTCATTCAATAAATAATCATTACCCAAATAATATGGTGAGGTTGTTCCGAGGTAGGCGCTGTCTGGGTGGCTCGTCGGTTTCTTGTCTCATGTCGACATTATACCATGGCGTAAAACAAAGGAGAAGAGCATTTAAACAGGCAAGCGCCCGACGTGGATGTAAAAGGCTAGAAATGTAAAAACAAAGGGAGAAAATATGTGAAAAGGACAGAAAAAAAAAAAAAAACGGGCTGGGTCACCACTGTCTTCGAATCAACGTGTGAAGCAAGATGTGCGACAACCGGCCTTAAAAAAGAAAAAGTATATCCAAAAACGTGATGTAAATGACACAAAATGAACTTTTGAATATAATCCAAAACATGAGAAAAGTAAAAGACAAAATAAAGAGAAAATTCAAGGAAAGGATTATCTTTAGTTGTTCGGATGCTGTTGGTACAAAATAGTACAGACATAATAGGGAACGTAAATGACTAAAAAATGGCCAGGTGTGCCGCAGCGGCGGTCTAGTTGCGAATGCAAACGAGATAAAAAAGCGGCGGTTCAGTAAGACAAGCGAAGAAGTAAAGGTCTAGACGGGATAGGAAATGGTGAACATAGTCAATGTCCGAGGGAATGTTGGTCATGGTTGTCGAAGTGCTCGAGCTCTTGCATGGTTGCGAGAATAAGAAATGTTGGTTGTTTGTCGTCCTTCGCCAAGTACTTGTTGGAAGTAGGTGGGTTTTCTTTCACTGGCCCCATCCTTGGCGGACACCGACGACAACAAGGGCTGCGACAGCGCCCAGAATAAGCAAGCCGAAGACCGACATGACACGGTTGAGTGTGCGCCACCATTTGGCGCTCTGATAGCGTGCTTCGTCGTATTGAGCAATGCGGCGCTTGAGAGCCTCTGGGACGCCGTACTTGCCTTCTGCGCGCTTCTCCATGGCCCGCTTGGGGTCCGGTGGCAAGGGAAGGAAGGCAGCAGCCATCCAAGCTTTACAGATGGTTAGCATATGGGATAGCAAAAGGGGGCTTTTGAACTCGGATATAAGAACGTACCTAAAGGGAAGACGAAGCCAATGGTAAAGCAGACAACGTGCAGGTTCCGGCGGTCAAATGTAGAGGTCGTGTCGGTGCTCCACGTCACGCTAGGCGGCTCCCAGACACTGAAACGGGTAGCACGGCGATCAACCCGGAGATGCGGCGACCAGATAGAGCTGGTCATCTTACGCAGGCCAGGCGGACGCAGACGATAATCGTTTACAACACCGGCCTCACCAGCCTCCATGCTCGCGGCATCCGAGAAAGGCCGGGGTCCGGTGGGTTGCACTTCTCTGGGGCGCCGACGCGTGTTGAAGATGTTGAAGTGCATATTGTCCAAACTCGGCGAGCGACGAAAAGCACTGTTGGGACGGCCGACGCCAGCCATGTAGTCGTCGCCTTGGCCTAGCTCTGACATGCTGGGTTCAACACTGAGAGCGCGGTGCTCTCCAGAGCCATAGTACACGCGCGCCCACGAGGGGAAGCCCCCACTAGCTATGCTGCGCATGCTGCCGGATGAGTGCAGATTTCGTGCCGAGTTGTTGCTGCTCGAGAAGAAGCCAGAGAGGCCGGATCTTGACGGCTGACGCCCTACATCATGCAGGTCAGCCAGGCCGTCGCCGTGTTCGTCGTGGTCGCGAACTGTTCGAATGGGCGGCGGATACGGCGCGCCACTGCCTGATGTTGTGGGGGAAGCAGAATTTGCGCGGAAAAACGCCGGATTTGGCCGATCGAGAAGTAGAGAATCACTGCGGGAATTGCGGTCTCGCAATTCATCCATCTGGAGGCCCAGCGAGCTTGATATGCTCGGCATGTTGCGGCTGTGTGTGCTGCTGGCCCACCCAGTGCTCGACCGACGGACGCTTGCGCCGCTAACGGCACTTACGTCGCCACGAATGTAGCTGCCACTTGGAGCCCCCGACATCACGGACACGGAACGAGAGGAGGCGCGCAGGCTGTCGCCCTCGCTCTCGGACATGACCGTAGACAGTTGGGAGCTCCATTGGTGCGGGTGCTCTTCGACCATTTGAACTGTCGCTAGTTTGGACCGCTTGGAGATGGGTTGCTGGGGAAGAGTGGGGGACTGCGGCGAGGAAGTCAGCTGCGAGGACGACGGCGAGTCCCATGAATCTAACGATGCTGGCCCCGACTTCTTGTTAGGCGTGCGGTCGTAGACAACGTAGTTCTCGCTCTGAACCGTAGGGGCGGGAAGCGGAAGAGGCTTCCGTTTGACTGTTGGCAGCGACGGCGTTTTCGCAAAGCCTGGTAGCTGGTGCTGCTGCTTCAGGGCAGCAGCAGCAGCAGCTTTGGATCCGGTAAAGACAGGAATGGGCGGGATATCAATGTTCAGGAAAGCCTGGCCGGCAAAGAAAGTGCTGGCAGCCTCTTGTCCGAACAGGGATGAGATCGACTTGATCGATGCGGCGCGCCGAAGCGACTCACGCGAGCGAGACTTATAGTAGCCGAACCGCTCGTTGGACTTTTTGGCCTTGACGGTCTTTAGCGGTGGAACAATAAGGCTCTCTTGGGAGTAGACAGGACGTGGTTGTCTCGAAATTGTGACGAGCGAGGAGGAGTTCGACGACGACGACGGCGGAGGGAACGAAATGGTAGACGGTTCACCGTGCAGCACGTAATTGGGATCGCTATCAGAGGTATCGAGCGTATCAGTAGTAGTAGTGGCGGAGCGCGGAGGTAGAGGGGGGCTGCTGGGGACGTCGACGTCGGGGGTGAAGCCGTTGCGAATGCGGTCAAGATACCGCGATGGGGCCGGAGGCGACGACGCGCCTAGGACAACAAAATTGGGCGCGCTGCTTTCGGAGATGCCAGTATCAAAGGACGCAATGGATGGGTACGAAGCAAGCGACGCAAAGGTTTCGTCAGGATCGTCCGAGCGCTGGAGCGCGGGCAGTGGCGGCGCTGCAGGTGAGGAGACGCCGAGGATCTCGATGTTGGTCGAGTGGCTGGAAGGGTGCGACTCAAAACTATCAGTCGACTCGAGGGCGGTAGAGTTCGCGGCCGCCCCGGCAGGTGACGAACTGTGGGCGTAAACTTTGTAGTTGGTCGCGGCCGAGATGGTCGAGGCAGACAACGAAAGTGACGAGTCCGTCGACAAGGCGCCCGCCGACTGGTCAGATGCAAAAGAAGTCTTCCTTTGAGGGCGAAGGGTCGCGGTGGTATAGGTGGAGGACGATGCAATGCGTGTGGTGGAACCAATCGCAGTGGAACCGCCAGCAACAACGGTGGTAGTAGGGCTAGACGTCGATTCAGACAGTGGAGGAAGAATCGACACGTCGAGACCAGAGATGACGGGGTGGTGCCTGTGGGAATAGGGTGAGTCGGTCGGGGTAGAGGGAACGGCACGTCCCTTTCCTTTGTGCCGGAAGTCAGGGGTCTTGGGAACCTTGCGCAGGCCACCGGCCAGGCGGTAATTCCACGGTGAGGTGTTGTTGGAAACACCAGTGGCAGAAGCGGGCAGAGGAAACAAAGACGGGTCGGCTGAGACTATAGGATCCTCGTGTAAGTGGACAGTAGAGGATCCAGGCGACAGGGTAACGGGCGAGAGGCTGCTCCTATCCTGGAGGGTGGCACTGGTGGTGGTTAAAGGAGAGCTGGGATGATCGTCGCCGCTGAAGACGTCTGAGGACAGCCGTTCATGCGAGCTGGACGAACGTACCGTGGAAGTGACGAAGGATAGGGGGGGCGACTTTAGGCTGCTAATAGTGGTGGCAGCGGGAGTCGGAGGCGGTAGGTCAGGGCGCACCAAGAGACCGGATGGAAATGCAGGAGACGTCCCAGCACCTGTCTTCCCGCTGCTGTTGCGAGGAACGAGGGAGAATGTTTTGTCTGCGTGTACCGCGACAAGGTTCCGGCGCCGGGAGTTGGGACGCGGTGCAGCCTGTGAGGACGATGCAGATGTGAGGGACGCGACAGACGGCGTCGGGGACAGGGAAGGGCCAGTGATGGTGGATGATGCAGTGTTTGAGGTGGTGATGGAAAGCGGCTGGTGATAAGACGAGGGCAGGAAAAACGTCGACGAAGACGACGGTGACGTTGGAAAGGCAATCGGCGACGACGGAGGGTCTGGCAATTGCAATTGAGGCGCACCGGACGCGCTACGGTGTTCGGTCAAGTGGGAAGCAGCTGCTGCAGAAAATGATGCGCTGGCAGGAGTGAGGCCCAGCTGGGCACCAGAGCGTGCAGAAGGAGCATCATCGCCCAGGCTGAAGTCATGGATGCCTTGCTGTAGCTGATGCTGCTGATGCCGCTGCAACTGAAGCTGGGGCTGAGGACGGGGTTTGTGGGCCAGGAGGCGGGACGTCGCATTAACATCGGTGATAGTGCTGGAATTGCTGGTATTTTTGGTTGTGTTAGCTGCCGTGGCAGGTGTGTCTGACGTTGCACCCGAAAATGTCGTCGTGGTCGCGGCGGTGAATTGGGAGCCAGTCGGGCTAGTGAGTTTCGATCCTGAAACGCCTCTTCTACCAGCCCTGGCCAATGGAGTCGCAGTTTCGACGGGCGATGATAATGCAGACCCCGGCCCGCTGGATGCATAGCCCTCTTTATCCAGTGGCTTACCGTCATTTCCATTTCCAGATCTTGTCACATTTGCCCATTTTGCGCCCATCACCGAATTTCTCGATTTCTCGGATAGCACAGAGTGGCCGGCCTTCCCTGTCTTGCCAGTCCCTGCTTTTGCAGGCTTGCCAGACTGGCCGCTGACGACGGTGCGGCTGCTGCTGGCCTTGCTGCCAGGGCTGCCGGGAGCAGGGGATGCCGAGGTCGAGGCTGAAGGCGAGGCGCCTGCTCCTGCGAGAGCTGTCGAAGGGCCCCAACTGCCGCGACTAGCCCAGCTGGTGGGCCGGCTGAAGCGCCTGCTGGTCGTCGTCGTCTGATCGCTGTCTTCACCGCCATTGCTGTCGCTGTCATTGTTGTCGTGGTCTTTGGAGCGCCGTCGTCGCTGCCGCTGCCGTCGCCGGCGGCGCGGTGAGCTGCTTGGCGATCCAGAAACTGGTCCTGGCAGTTGCAGTCCACTTTGTACCTCCTGCGGAGCGGAATCGAGCCTTGGCGGCGAGTATGGCACAACGCGAATGTCAGTCATGCGGTTGCTCTCGGAGGCGCTGCGCTCATGCAGGGGCAATGGTGTTGGAGTGGCACGGCGGCCGCTCCAATCCCTTTGTCGTTCCCGGTCCAATTGTTGGTGTGCCGAAAATGCAGACATGGTGCGGATCGGCAGTTTGCGGCCGTTTTGACCGTTTGTGTCGTTGCTGTCGTCGGCGTTCAACGGCAAGCACGCCTCCGTCTCTGGCGCGGCCGAGACGGAGTCGTACTGGGGCTGCTGGTTGCCGAAGGCCTGGTGCCACGATGTAGGCCGGTCAATACCGTCAATTCCGGGAGGCGTCCATCTCAAGCTCATGCAGACGCGGTGTGTGGGACTTGGACTGAATCACTGAATGACGCCTTGGTCAGGTGTTGTCAAGTTCTATCAGCGCCCGGCTAATAAAACGGCGATCCAGCTAAGCTGATCCCGAACAGCTTCGACTTTCTCAATGGCAGCTAGTCCGGGGTTCCCTAGTGAGAAGGCTGCAGATGGCAACGCACCAGGCGGCGAATATCGTGTTCGATGTTGAAAGCCGAGAGAGAAACCAGAATGCGTTTGAGGGAGTGCAAATGCGAGCCAGAGCACCCTGGCCACCCAAAAATCACAGGCCTGGAAAGGAGTGGATATCCGGGAGGGGAGGGGAACCTGCCTTCTTCTTCTTATAAGAAGGTGAAGCCCATATATGCCCAGCCGTGGGGTAGACAATGGCGGTTAAGAGGTGTGAGAAGTGATAAGAGAAGACAAGGGGACAGGGGAGTTGGCGCTCCGATTGTTCTAACGCGAAGAAACAACAGTAACGTTTCTCGTGAACATAGTCGTTAAAGCGGTCGTCGTCAAGGTCGTGCAATCGTGGTCATGGGTTTCGTTCAAGCTGTTCTGGGATGACACCAAGCAGGGAAATGCTTGCTGCTGTCGTGTTCACGATATGGACGAGATATAATATTGAAAGAGAAGATTAGGCGCCAGTGGGCCGGGTGTGTGGGAAAACGGAGGTAGCGAAGCGAGTAAACCACAAAGAAAGAAAATGGAGAGGCGTAAGGCATGAAAAGCATTAAGAATAGCAATTAAGAACGATCCAGATATATGGCGAACAAGGGGGAGGAGGCGTGGGATTGAACGTGTCGATATTAACAATTGAGGCGTAGAAGACCGTATAGGACCAAGGATGAATGAATGAATTATTGCCAAAAAAAAAGCATATAGAGAAAGAAGCAATTTAGAAGGGGGATGAGAAAGAAGGGTTGATGTCTGACAAGGAGAGAAATAAAACAGAAGCGATCGCAGGAAGAGTTCGGAGAGCAAAAAGGAATGTCGTGACGAAAGCGGTCAAAAAAGAAATTAAAGATAGGAGACGAAGCAAAGAGGAAACGTTTGAACAAACTGTTCGACCAAACAAACAGTGAGGGCCAGGGGGTCCAGGGGTAGCTACAGCTGGCCTTGTTGACGAGGGCGGCGAGAAATGCTGTCTCCGTCTCGGCTGATACTCAAGATAGCATGACGGGGTATAGCAAATAGAGGACGACGAGGGTGCTGACCAGGGGTTTAATGGAAGAGCGTGGGATGTGGTTCTCGACGACGAAAGGGGGCGAGGGGTCTGAAGTTGGATGGGACTGAGGCTGTGATATAGAATACCACGAAAATCGAGAGTAAAGATCAAGGGGGGCGGCGAGAGACAGCCAAATAAGAGCGCGGATCTGGACGGAAATCTTAATCCTTGATCAAAAGGAACTGGGACCAAGGACCATTCAGATGAGTCGATCGAGAACACCGTCGGTATTAGAAGTCCAGGCGTGCAACCGAGAAAGTAGAAATGGCCGAAATTCGTAACTTGGCTGGAGGGCGTGCCGCTGGGCGTGTATGCAAAACGAGAGGAAAATGTACAAAGGAGAGGAGCTGTAGGCGTGGCCTTGTTTCGGAGCCGGGAACGACTGAACGAATGGACGACGAGGCGAGAGAGCCAGGAAGAGCGAGGAGGGGAGGGAAAAATAGGAAAAGAAGATTTAGAAAAGCGAGATGGCACAGTAGATATCTGGAAGCAGCCAAGGATCAAGGACAGGATTGAGAGCTGCCGGGACGAGGGAAGCAGTAGAGGGGAATTGGGCAACGCGAAAAAGACCTTCTTACCGTTGTCAACTCCTCGGACCATCCTCAACGGAGACAGAAGACAAGACGTGCGGTCATATCTTACTTAGTCTCCTGTCCTTGGTTAGATTTGATTGTGGTGCCAGAAGCTTAGAGTTTGCCCCCCTGCTGATTCACTTTCTTTGCTTGTCTCCTCAGAACTGGCACGCGAAACTTTGTAAAAGCGACCAGGGGTGTTGACCAAGTCGGCCCAAGCCAGCCAAGAGAGACAGTGGCATCGCAAAGCACAAGCGTGGCCGCCATTGGCCCACAACTCCGTACAGATGAGTATGAATGCTCCGTGCGGACCAGAAACCGCTCCTGAGCATGCAGCGCTCAGGGGAGCAATGTCTGGGTCGTCTAGGGCTGGGGTCTGGTCGACCACTGGCAAGCCCCGTCTCAGTACGGTGGCGGATACCGTTGTATTGCGAGTGGCTCGAGTGCTGCGCAGAGGTTGCGCAGTGGCCGTCTTGTGTCGTCTTCTGCTCCTCTAAGCTCCTTTGTGCTCATTCGTGCTGGAGATGCGACTGTCCACAAAGCTGCAGCGGTTTAATTTGAAGGGAACACGCCTGCAGTGCACCTGCAGCACGCCTGCAGGAAGAGTGCAGGAAAGCAGATTGGAAAGTCTCGTTTAGGAGTCGCTTTTGACCGTCTCACTTTTCCACTTTTTGCTTTTTTGCGCAGCTATTGGCGTGTTTGTTAGTGATGGGGACTTTTCCTGCTAGACGAAAAAGACCCAGAATAACGACTTCACATAAACCGGCGGTGTTCCGTGGGGACCGAAAGTATTCATCTGTACCCCTGGTCGCGCGCGCCAGACGGTTGGTCACAGCTGTTTTGTTTGGCCGTGTGTACCATGTTGTGCGAGGATCAGAGACATGCTGGCCCCGTTTTGACCACGGCAGAGGATAAGGATGACAGGACAGAAAAGAATGGAAAGAGCCGGGTGCATGATAACATTAACGCCACTGGATGCACAAATCACTCTATGTGTTCAAGCGTGGCCAAAGAAGGCAACAACGGTCACGTAGCTGGAAAAGGAAAGAGCAACGGTCTGCTCATTGCGGTATTGCGTGGAAACAGCAGTTCTCGGCTGAAATACGGTCTGCTTAGGGCGTTGATTGCATTTGGACATTAATTACGTCGCAATCCAACAGTGTCGGCGGTGACCAGAAATCCAGGGCTGGCGAACCGCCCAGTGACAAAATAGAAAGACCAGAAGAGAGTACCAAGAAAAAAAGGACCACATGAGAAAGCCAGAGGAACGCGTCATGCATATCTGTTACGAGAAGGCGCTCTGGATGCGTTGGATGCAGGAGCCACCGGCCGCATCGCCACATCAGTGGAATGTAAACAAAACAAATCAGCTGGCGAACAGGAAGGCAAGGAGAACAGGGAAATGAAGCGAGACAGGCAGTACGAGGATATCAGGGAAGCCAGCAAAGCATAGAAGACGCAAAAGTGACGACAAAAAAAGCAAAAATAGTACGAAAAAGGTCGGATTCATATGCAGGTGCAGGTTGCTGCACTGCACCTGTACGATGACATGAAAAGCGGACCTATAAGATGACGGTGGGAGGTGAGGCTGGACACTACTGCAGGGCCGCACAGAGGGAAAAGTAGCCCCAGGGTGCAACTGAGACAAGAGCTCAACGCACGACGGAACCGAGTTGGCCAAACAGTCAGCGAACCTGGTTGTGGGAGGAGACCAACCTGGTGGGAGGGACAAAAGGATGACAGCGCCAACCCAAACGGCAAACAGAGACACCTACAGCTGCATGGCCGATCCCCGTTTGAGCGGCGTCCGCCTCACAGCCATCTGTGGATGGCAACGTGCATTTGAGATATTTTGGGCTGCCGACCTGCTGCAGCTTCCTGCGGCCTTGTCTTACTTATCTCAAGCGCTTGAAGGCCTCGTTGCTGCGGCCTCATTTACTCGATACCCACGTTGGGGCCATCGTTATGTCTTTCTGCTTCGTGTCGGTCTCATCTGCCGCCCGTCTCTCGGTTTTACTTGCTCGACCGACACAGAGAGAGAAAGGCCGGCTACCCGTAGGCTGCCGTGGTTTCACTGACATACTAGACATGCTGGCCACGACGAGAAACTCCAAAAAGATACCAAAGTGTACTTCTCTGTGGGGTGTCGAGCTCCAATAATTCCGCAAGGCGCGTTCGAATCAGGTACGGTGAAGACTAGCGTCCACGGGCGTTTAATAACGTCGCGTAACGACCTTGGAAAGACGCGTTTTTGGCTTAGCTCTTTGGGGCAGCGCGTCGTATGGTGGGGGTGAACAGGGGCGTGGAGGCGAGGTTCCAACCAGACACGACTAGTTACCTTTTCCAATGCTCTGTAGTCCCCATAGCACAGGGGAGTGTCCACTGAATCGGGAAAATTGGGGAGGCCTAGACAGACCAGGTCTGGTAGAGCGTAGTATGGTGGACAAAAAAGGATGAGAAAACACGGGGGCCAGAGAGGAGAGAAAGACGGTGAGGGCACAGAAGACTGCCCTTTGGAAGCCCATCCAGTCCTTTTTGCTTCTGCTGTTCAGATGATACGAAAGCTTGAATGAAAAGAAAAAAAAATGAAAAAAAAAATGAAAAATGAAAATGAAAATAAAAAGGCTGCCTTTGTATTTACCTGCTAGCCTCGCTCCTTCCACAAGTGAGATTTCCTTGTTAACAAGTAGCGCACTGGCAACGACATTGACCGTTCCAAGCGCTCATCTTTCAGGAGGTACGCCATGTCGCGTGATCTAGTAGGAGGGTTGCGAACATACCGTCGTATAACATAACATTTTGGAGCACAACAGGCACAACAGGCAACTTACATATTTACAGCGTATGGAATACAAGCGAGGCGCCAACGACAGACGGAGCGCAGTGGGAGACGGAAAGTGCAGAGCGAACAAGGTATCTTAACAGGTCCGTTGACGGCTTCTCTGTAGCCAGATTGGGCAACCAGGTTGTATCAACATTGCGCAGAACTCGAACTTGTAAACATTCGACAGAGACTCAGTCAAGAATCTCAAGACTCTAGTTTAGTGGCGCTCAGGTTTTCCACGATATTTCACCATGTAATTATTGAATTGGTCGTATCGCTATTGGCCATGGCACGCACATCATAACAATACAAGAAGGAACAAAGGAGCAACTGTCGTGTCCTTTGAACGAAAGGTTGGTTGCCAGTGAGCGAA